GAGAGAGAGAGAGAGAGAGAGAGAGAGTGTGTGTGTGTGTGTGTGTGTGTGTGTGTGTGTGTGTGTGTGTGTGTGTGTGTGTGTGTGTGTGTGTCTGTCTCAGAGGCAGGTTGGGAGCTGGGGCAGGAGATGTCAGCAGTCCATAGTTTAACAAGCCCGTGATTCTGATGCATCCTCACATTTGAGAACCACCAAGTTAAGGCATGAAGACCAAAGCACAATGAAGAGAAAAGCAGAACAGAGCAATGCATCTTCCCTTAAGCATGATTATCAGGGCAGAACTTTAACGTCCCCAGGGAAAGAAACTTCAATCCTAGAGTCTGTAAATTATTTGGAGTCTTAGCAATCTGAACAATCATGATAAAGATGAAAAAGGTCATTAAAGTAGACAGAGAGTCACATGGTTCTGCAGCTGAATGGGTGACAGACCTCATCCCTGGCCTTGTGACATTTGCAGGATTTCTACAAGTTCACTACAAACGGTGTTTTCATTCCCAAATTCCTTAGTGACTGAAATCAGCCTTAAGCCCAGGCAGCTGAAGTTTTTGTGGTCTGGCAAGTATTTGGTATGACTCCCTTCACCTGAATCTGAGCATTTTCCTTCTGAATCGTCCACTGAGTGAGAAGAATTTGAAAAGGAATTAATAAAACACATTCTTTGAAGTTGGAAAAATACAATCTCCTCTGATCAAAAAATGGCTAGGCCGGTACAAACAAAACACGTGCAGATAAACACAGAAGACGTCTACATTGTGTAGTCTTCCCAATTACTACCTACACCTGCGGAAATCCCTAGAGGAGGTCACTGGTCAAAGGGAATATTGAAGAGATTGAAAATCCAGGAAAGAAAAAAAATGTTATAATAAAAGTGTAAAGCTAACGTGATTTGTCCAACTTAACAATGAATGCTAGAGATACTTCTTCACTCTCCTCACCGCCCCTAAACTTACAGCCAACTCAGTTCTGTGATATTAACAAGAAAGAGTTTTATGTGAATGGAAGTTTCTTTGTCAACATTTTCATTTATCATATACCAAAAAGACACCTGTGTGCTTAAAAGTGACATCCATTTGCTAGTTCGGTTCCCTCAGGCTAGGAAAGTATATATGGATGTTTTGGCAGAAAGTCTTAACTAGCACTCAAAGTTGGATGGTTGAGAAACTATACAGTGTGCCCCTACAATGGAAAGTGGTGCAAGATTAATTTTGAAAAGACTAGAAATATTCTAATAAAATTTATTTTCTGATATGCCTAATTTTTTCAAATATTATTTTTGAACCTCTTATCTCCACCACAAATACACATCTCAAAAGATTCTTTAAAAAGATCTCCCAAAGATGTTAGCATCAGAGCTATCAAATCAATTTAATTCCAGTTTATAGAAATTATTTCACTGAAAAACTATTTACTTAGCCAATCTCTGATAGTCCAGATCCTAAGTTCAATTTTCTCTCCTAAGTTTATTTATTAATTTATGTTTTTGTACAGCAAGGAAAGCAGTCTATAGTCATCTCTGCCAAAACTTTTGAGGGTACTAGAAAGAGAAGTACCAGAATAGTAATTTAACATTTTCCTGTAGCTATAACTCTCCTTTAGGATTTACTGATCTCATGCTGGCAAGACTCTTATGCTTTTGATGCCCCTGAATTTTATAACTTTTTCTACTGTCTTTTACTCACTGCCAAGAATAAATTATTCATCTCTTGTTTTAAGAAAATGCAGCTTTAGTGTCAGATTCTGAACAAATTCTGTGGATCATCAACCAAACGCTCTAGTCTAGCTCATTCACCAGTGGTCTTTAGAGATAAGATGGAAAGGAAATTACAGCCCAATACTAGAGACCTCATGATGGTTACTGATGCATCTACCCATGTTCCAGGCAATCTGCTAGAAATGTCCCTAAGAAGCTCATAGTCTAGAATTTTATGCACTTTATATTTAATACATATTTATTTTTAAAGGGGATGTTTACACTCTCATGTGCCACATCATCCATTTTGTTTGTGTGTGTCAGTGCGAATATGCCCAACTTGGTCTAGCTCCCTTATAACTACAGACAGCTTCAAGTTCAGAAGAATATTTTATGAATTTTGGCCCCATTAAATAAAGAGGTTAAGAGACCATCTATACAATTAGTACAAGAACAAAACATTAACAAATTGTTTGTCTAAGCAAATTAAGGGAATAATACTACAGGCATTTTTCTTAAATTTTCCAGGTAATATAGAAATCAATAATTCAAATCTCTGATTGTGAATATAATTGGAAATGATATTTAACTTGGATTTGAGGAATATATTTGCCAACAGGTTATATTTCACTAATCCTTAACGATTACCAATTATTACTTGTATTTGCACAGAAATCCAGTACAAGGTTAGGTCAATTAGGCAAATAAATTCTAGTAGGTCTTAAAGTCCATTAGTTAGATTCAGAATTCTAATTCAAATTCTGTAAAAACCCTATAAAGTGAAATTATGAGTTAGCTTATCAGCATTCCTAAGTATGCCAGAATATTATCTTATTGTTCTGTATTCTAGGGAAAACTACAGCAGTTTGTAGGTATAGAAATATTAACTATACCAGATCTAAGAAACACTAGACAAATCACCATGCCTCTGAATATCTCCTGAACTGAAGGAAAATCACCTGAATTTCTCCATTAAAGGTGTCTTCTTCTAGGTTCAGATGTTGCAACATCAAAGGTGGCCATTCTTCAAATGCCTAGTCTATAGACACTGAGATAAATGCTTTACATACTTATTCCCCAAAACATCCCTGTAAAATAAGTATTATCTCTTTTTTTCCCTCCAGGGACAGATCCAGGTTTATTCGGCCTAAAGGTTATGCAATTTGGGGGTCCTTCTTTAAAAATTGTGAATACAAAATTGGTTATGAAAGCACACAGTGGTTGTAACTAATTGTTGTTAGATTATCTTATATACTTTTTACAAAAGCATGTGATCATGTGAATGCATAGCACGAGCTCTGGCCAGAGGCTTGGAAGCAGCATGTATGAGGGGTCTCAAAGGCTGAGTTCTACTCGATTCACTGCCTCTCACAGTGAACAAGAGTGAATTGAGTACATTTCGCAAGGTGTTAAAAAAAAAAAGAAGTCATCCTTGACACTGCAAATGGAGGACATCTTTCCAATTAACCACTCACAGCCCAGCTATTTAACAAAAGAAACTTTACAACTGCTAGATCTCAGGAACTGAGTTAAATGTCGCAACTGATCATCCAGCTGGAGACTGAGGCACATCTAGTCAGGCTCAAAAGTGAGGCTAAAAGTGCCTGACTGGCAGAATGAGAGTGGCCTATTGTTGCACTGCTTAAAACCCTTCTGGGAAGCAGCAAACACCTCTCCCTCCTGAATGTGTCAAAACACATCAGAGCATTAGACAAACAACTCAGACATTTACCACATTTCCATTCTTGTATATTGACCCAAGGGATAGGGAGGGGCAAGCCTTGGTGAGGCAGTGAGCATCTTGTTACACATAATCTGATCAACAGTACAGAATTCATTTCTTGATTTGCTATCACACCCTGGGCTCCTTTTGTTTCTCAATAATAGATGGACTCATCTTTTTTCTTCCACCTTGTAAACCCCACTTAGGAGAAACTTAATGCAGTCGGAGAGCATTAAAAAAATTCCTTCGTGGGACCACCCATTAATGTTACCCTAGAAGAGATACAGAAAAATGCAGTATAGATTCAAGAATCAAAGGGATCAGGTGAACCAGATCCTAATGGCTTTCAGAGAGAATGACCTCATTTCAAAAGCAATCTTGAAATGAAAGAAAAACATCTTAGGCAGGCTGAAATGTACATTTTTAGATGATGGACACAGACTGACTTCCTTATTTGCACCCTTGGATTTTTCGGAAGGCCAGAGAGATTGAACCCTTCCCTGCTGTTTGTTTGATTTGGTCTGAGTTGAAGCCAAGAGATGTGGTGATGGAAGTTTGGAAAAACAATTAAAAAGAAATGTATGCAGTGGTTTTTCTGGGATCCTAATTAACTGGCCCATTTCTAGGTAACATTGGGGAAGTTGTGGGCAGTGATTATTATCTCTTTAAAGTCCTAATTAAAATGTCAAACTGTAAGGTAGAATGTCTTCAAAGCTGCATGTAATTTGATTGTGTTGGCTTATTGGAAAAATGGCCTTGGAAATACAAATAAACCAGCCACTAAAAAGATCCCAGAAGTCCAGGCTTTATTCCAGAAGTATAATCTGTTGAACCAATAGCATTTCATAACTAACCACTCACCAAGTGGTAGACATCCAAATGTCAAAGCCAGTTTCATAACATGGTAACACATAACATGCTGCATAAGAGTGCCTCTCCATAGCATACTGGGGTTTGAAAGGGGTGTTTGGAGATGGTTCACCTACAAATGCCCCTTGCCCAGCTTTAAATGTTCTCATTTGATGAGTTTCAGAAATGGCTGGCACCCTACCCACTTTCTAAAGTAGTCTTCTAGAACGTTGGAGCTTTAAAAGAATTCCTGGATATGATGGCAGACTTCTGTGATGTGCACGCATTAGGATCTCAGGCAGACGGTAATCACTACCACATCTGTGCACGACCATTAGTAAAGCTGTTCTTCACGTAAGAAGGTGTTGCAGTTATGACACTGAGGGGTGCAAATAACAAAAAAGGCCAATCAAAAAATGGCTAAACAATAAGACTCCTGTTATATGATAAGTACAGCAGTTGATTTATACAGCATCTCAAGGACATCAACAGTGATCTTGTTCTTTCCACTTCCCTACATGGCCGCTCTCAGTATGCCAGCTTCTCGCCTCACTATCACACCTTATTTGCATGAACTCTAGCATCACCCCCTCATTTAACCACATCCAAAGGGAGAGAAACAGGAATGTTGCCTCCCATGCATATCCTTTTATCCTTTTCTGGACACCCCTCAGCAGACTTGCCATAACATTTCCTTGCCCGTAATTGCACCACATGCCCATGCCCAAACCAAACACTGTCAAAGGGAATTATTATGAGTGGATCAGCTTAATCAAAACTCAACTCCAACCCCTAGAGCTAAGGGGAGACGGGGTACTGATGTACTGTCATGAATCGATACTGTAAAACAAATCATAGTTCTCTTTAAGAGGAAAAAAATGGAACAGTGTCCACCCCGCTCGGTGATATGTCTATTGCACCACAGCCAGTAGGGTGAACACTGAGTTGCTTCTCCAGTGGTGGGCAGATTTATACTGACACAGTCACTCACATTCTCTCTGCTATCTCCACTCACGGCAACACTTATACAGAATACCCAGCCAAGACCTTTGGCCATGAATAAGAGAGAAAAACTATTTCCACCTTGGCATTCATCCATTCCTTCACTTGTTTATTCACAAATACAGTTTGAGCACCTACTAGGTGATGGACTCTGTGTTAGAGATGTAACAAAAACAAGCCAGACTTGGTCTCTAATATCAGAAAGCTTATACTCTAGTGGAGAGAACACATTAGGCAAATGGACAGTATGGTACCATAATCTTTGATGGGGAAAGCACAGTAAAATACTTTAATACTATAGTATCACAGGTTCTTCCATAGCAAAAGTCCTGGGCACCACACAGATGCATACAGAATATGGACCTCGCCCAGCCCCTAAAGGAAGAGATTCCTGAGGTAAGAAATGAAAAATGATATGAGGGTGAGTTGTAAGTAAAAAAGAGTTAAAAGGAGACTAAACAAACCCTACAGCCTTGGCCCTCATCTAATTAATATTGAATAATTAATTCAAAACCTCTTAAGGCTACCTATACTACTAACTTCTCAAGGATCCCTACCACTAAAACAAGGATTCAATCTGAGGTAGGCAGGTATAATTCAGAAGATTAGTGAACTTGGAGAGGAAAAAATACAGCTTTATTTTTATTAACCACTAACTTGAAACTCAGGATTTTCATCAATAATAAATATGAACAACAACAACAAAAAAACCCCACAACAGTATTCTCAATACCCATGACTTTGGCAAAAATAGAAATCATAGATATTTCATATTACTTTACAGATGATGTAGATACGTCAAAAAAGTATTCAAAATCATGGCACTTAAGGACCTACTGCTAGATATTCCTTAAAACATGCATTTGAAAAACCATGGGTATTTTTCAGCATCTTGACTACTGCATTTCAATATAATTGGTTTCCTTTTTGAATCTGTATATTTTATGCATCTAAAAGCAATAGTCTGAGAAAGGGCTCATCGATTTCACCAGATTAATAGGGGTGTGTTTCTTCCCAGATACCTGCACTTCTCAGTACCTGCACATGAGAGACTTGCAAAAACTATGAATTTAATTTTTCTTGTAATTGTCTGTTCTCCCCAATTAAATTTTGTATTTGATTTTTCAGCAATGCTGGCCCTGTGGTTATAAAAAAATAAAATGTTATTTTACAGCTATAACAGAAGCTCTCTGAGTCTTTGAGTCTGCCATTTTCTTTCTGTAAGACCTTCAGGACAATAAGAAAATCCATCCCACACCAAAGCCCTTGTAGTCATCACTACTGTTCTAATGGTCAAGTTCAGTAGCTTCTTATGCACACACTTTAGTAGGCATTTTACCACAATCAGCCATAGGTGGTATTTGATTAAATTAGATGCTGTTGCTCATACTAGTACCTAATTACCGCATTGTGTCCAAGTACAAAAACATGACCAAACTAATCCCCGAATCATCGTTTGGAGTGTCCATTTCCAGGGACCGCTTGTGGAACCAATTTTTGCATCAGTCAAGGTCCAAGCAGGATCCAGCAACTACATAAGGTACATGAATAGAGAAAATCTAATATAATTTTTTTTACTCCCATGTAAATTTAACCAAAAAAGGCAGGAATAGAACAACATAGCAGTAAAAATTTATTTTATTTTTACTATGCCCTAAAAGAGTATTGAGAAGTACTGTCTCCCTTGTTGCCAATCTGAAAGAAGATAAAAAACTATAATTAATCAGTAAAGGCAATGACTCCATTCAGGTCTGGTTCTCCTGCTGTAACAATCACCGGTTCTGGGCATACACAGATGGTACCATAATCTCTTCAAACCTACTGGGAAATTGAAAAGAATATTAAATTATTTTAGCATTTTTAATAAAATAGTAATTTTTTTAATGGAGTCCTTCATTGCTGTGGGTGGCAGAAATGGACTGGAGACAGAGAGATGATAATTAGTTAGCTATTTTCCTAACGGAAACTAGCCTCTGGTCAAAAGGGCCACACATTCTTTGCCTTTGGATAATCTCCACTGTTAATAATCACAGGGATTCTGAGAAATAAAAGAAAATAAAGCATACTCCAGGTTGACACGCCATAGTTGGAGAAGCCATCAAGTATTCCAGGTTCCAATTTTCCCAAGGATTTTTGCACTAAACAACACAGTGAACCATGTAGAATTTCTTTCTATCCCTCCCATTATGTGTCCTTGAAGAAAGAAGAAACACAACTGTTGCAAAATTATATTACCTTCTTGAAACTATCTCTGACTAGTATCACTCAAGTCTTGATCACTTTCCTATACTTTGCATCACTGTGACATTCTTCTTATTTAATATGGCTTCCTCAGTGCTCAGCATGGCCTGAGGTACCACAGGATTCTCAGAATGGCCAGCATTGTCAAAGTGTTTACAATACAGCTTAGAAAAGAGAATGGAAACATATGAAAATATTGGATTCGACAGAATGTTAAATGAGGTCATCTCTTTCCCAGCATCTCAGTTCATACACTTATACCTTGACAAAGAGAAAAGAAAGTAAGGAAACATTTATGAGCTGAAGTATGTCACCTAAAGTTTCAAGTTACAATTAAGATTTAGACTGGGCCTTGAAGGATGAGCAGAATCTAAACTGAGGGAAGTGGGGCTAAGGAAGCAGCTGAGCAAAAGCACAGAAGCCAAAATAAAAAATAAAAATTCTGACTTAAGTGGGACAAAGTCTTTAGACTTGAGAAAAGAACTGTGTGAAATGAGGTTTATAACAGTTAATGGAAGCACCTGAATTATGGTTAGTAAAGTATGAACTTGAAGCAGGAACTTCAAGTAGACAGGATATGGGGGTGGGAATAGTGGTAGAGTATGTGCTTAGCATGCAAGAGGCCCTGGGTTCAATCCCCAGTATCTCCATTAAAATAAATAAATAAACATACATTGGTGGGGGCGGAATTTGGCAGGATTAGACATGTGGAAAGTGGTGTTTTGGAAAGATTGTTCATTAGCATAAAGAACAGATGAGCAAGAAGAGGACAAGCCTTTTAAGGGATGTCAAACAGGGGTCCAACATAGCAACCCAGGCATAGGTAGGCAATAATCCTACAAGAGTGGTAGCCATGAGAATAGAGAGGAAGGCGTTGGAATCCAGAAACTGAGGTCACATTGGAAGCTATGTGCCAGGAGTTGATTGCTTTGGTAGCATCTTTCTCAGCACCCTGATCCCCTTCTAGTCCATCCACCTTGAGCACATCCTGTCGCAGCTTGACATGTGGATTGCTCCAGGATTCAAACACAGCACCACGCCCCTGGAAGAAGACGAGGAACTCTTCTGAAGGTCTTGCTGGTCATGCTGATGCACAGCTTTACGTCTTTTTTCCACTGTGTTCCCCAACACAGTGTTTATAGTATCCTATCATCTCCTAAAAAATCTTCCTTTCTTTCCCCTAAACTGAGGGAATGATTATCCTTCCTGCCTTATGGTTTGATGGAAAACAAAGGGACACTGGAGAGCATATCTGACCACTTCATGCTCTCTTCTCAAGCCCCCAACTCATCCAGAACATTTGGCTCTTTGCACAACAGGATATGTCCTGGTTTCACCTGACTAGTTACTACCCCCATAGCTCCTCTAAGGCATCTCTGCATATTATATAGGTACTCAATGTTTTGGTCTGGTCTTGGTCTTCAGCAGTTTACTTCCATTAAGTCTGCATGATACATTTTTACACTATATCATTATGAGCTTATTTTATATTTTTATTTCACTACTTGGAATCTAAAATATCCAAGCACAAATGCCTTGTGCTGCCGAGGTCCAGCACAGTATTGCCATTTTGCACTTCGATGTTATTAAACCAGCTAATCTTTTGCATGTTTACATTTCATGCTAAGGAGCCAAAGATGCAGATGGAGATGTCTTGACAACATCTCTAGAATTTCTAAGCTTTAAAACATATGGACTTTGCTAACAGGTGAGTAAAATTTCATAAAAGACTCTCTTTAATAAATGCTAAGAGATAAATGGTATATAGGCACGAACCCCCAAGCTCTGAAATGTCACATTTCAAAAACACTCCTATAGTATTCCCTGGAAATCAGGTTTAAAGTAAAACAGAACCCAGTCTGAAGACTGATCTCTTTTTTTTTTTTTAACAAAATGTCATTTATTCTTTAGCACAGTGATCCCAAAAGACGAATTTATAATATTGTCCACTCTAATAGCATGAAAACTCAGATTATTCAGTTAGTAATCATTATCTTTTCCTATTTGATTCACCAGGCACAGATTTTTATGAATTTTTTTTTTTTGGTCCCTTCATATTCTTTCACATGGTTCCTCCCCTCCCACTCTTTGAGGCTGCTTGTTCGTCACAGTCTCCTACCTCTGTAAACTGTCTACTAAACACACCCAATTCTCAGTTTGTGTGTATCTAGTTGCAAGATTTTATTGTTACTACCTGCAATGATTGTTTAGACAAGCAAAAGATATCCATTCAATCTATCTATGTACTTAGAAGAAATGAAAATTTACCAACTACATTTGGTTACCAAACCCTGCACTATTTAAACAATGTATTCTTAAAAGCCAAGTTCCTGACAATCCCTTCTCTGTCTGGAATAGAAAGAAAAAAGATGGCTTGAAAGACACCATGGAAGTAATAAGCGTAAGATAAAGCTGGATACACAAATATACAAAAAAAAAATTTAACGTTACCAGACATAGTACAATAAAATCATATAAAGGAAAAACAATTGAAACATCCTAGATAGAACAAGGAAGTTCAAGAATAAGCAATTTGTTGCAAAGATATATCCAGTCATTTAAATATTTTCCCTAAGCACCTTCAGGTCAATGGTCCTGTTGCAGGGTATCCTGAAAAGCCTATGGAGATACCCAGAAGTAAAAGCCAAACTCTACCCTAAAACAAGCTGACAGCTCAGTTGGAAAGAAAACACAGGTAGAATATTAAATTAACTTAGAAAAATCTATCACAGGTTTATGCCTTTTGACCCAGATATACTACTTCTACTTCTGATTTTAGCCTAAATAAACAATCATATATATAACCATGTGGGCTTATAGAATAATTTAATTTTAACAATAACTAATCTTGGAGAAATGACAAGGTAATTAATTTTAAAAGGTGGCCACATTGCAATCAAGTGGCATGTAGTCTTTACAATAATATACAAAGGACAATTTAATGACCAAGAAATGTTTGCAGTATGTTATGTGGAAAATCAGGATTAAAATTAGCAAACTTGGTATAATCTCCTTGGTGTGAAAAATGCACAAGAGGTCAGCTACATGAAACCCACAACTGACACCATATTTAATGGTGTTAATGAAAATCAAAAACTAGATGAGGATGTCTGCTCTTGCCACTTCTATGCATCATTGTAATGGAGGCCTAGCCAAGGCAATTAGGCAAGAAAATTAAATAAAAGGCTTCCAATTGGAAAGGAAGAAATAAATCTATCTCTATTTGCCAATGACATATTCCTGTATATAAAAAATCCTATAGGAATCCACTATTAGAGCTAATCAATGAGTTTGGCAAGGTTGCAAGATATATCAAAATATGGATATCAATTGTATTTCTATACTAGCAGTGACTAAAGCAAAAATGAAATCAAAATAATTCCATTTAAAATCACATCAAAAATAATAAAATACTTAGTAATAAATTTAACAAAGGAAGTTTAAAACTTATACTCTGAAAAGTACAAAACATCACTGAGAGAAATTAAAGACCTTAATCAATGGGAAAACATTTGTGTTCATGTATCAGAATATTTACTGTTACAATGGCAATATTCCCCAAATTGATCTACAAATTCAGTGCAATTCCTATCAAAATACCAGCTGCCTTCTTTGCAGAAATGAACAAGCTGATCCTAAAATTCAAATGGAAGTGCAAGGCATACAGAATAGTCTAAACAATCTTGAAAAAGAAAAACAAAATTAGAGGACTCACATTTTCCAGTTTCAAAACCTATCTACCATAAACATACAGTAATCAAGACGCTATGGCACTGTTATAAGCATAGACATACAGACAAATGGAACAGGATCATGAATCCTGAAATAAACCCTTGTATTTATGATTAATTGATTCTTAACAAGAGTGCCACGGGTTGGACCATATACACATATACATCATACCATACACAAAATTTAACTCTAAATGGCTCAAAGGTCTAAATGTAGAAGCTTAAACTGTAAAACTCTTAGGAGAAACAGGTGTAAATCTTCATGACCTTAGATTAGGCGGTGGTTTCCTAGTTATGACATCAAGAGCATGAACAATGACAGAAACAAAAATAGTTAAATTAGACATCTGCCACTTGGGGGTTAGTTTTCTGTTTGTTCTCAGTTTTTTTGTTTCTGTTTTCTTTTTCTTGACTTCTTGTAGGTTTTCTGTAACAGTTTCTAGAATCCCATGTTAATTTACCTATAGCATTGTTCAGTTTCTCTCTTTGTTTAGTAGTGGCTGCTGTAGGTATTACACTGAACCCACATAACTTATCTCACTCTACTTGGTACTGTCGTTCTACCAGTTTAAATGATGCACAGAAAACTTACCTGACTTCATGTCCCTTTTCCCTCCCCCACTTGTAATTGTAATAAATATTTTCTCTACATACATTTAGAGCCATCTCAGACAGTGTAATAATTTTATTTCAACCATCAAACAATTTCTGTTTAGAAAACTCCTTTTAGTCATTCACTTAGGGTAGATTTGCTGGCAACATGTTCTATTAGTTTTCCTTCCCTTTAAAATGTCTTGATGTCTCCCTTTATTCTTGAAGTATTTTTTCTCTAGATATACGATTTTGGGTTGACAATTCAGATTCCTAGGCCCTGAGTGTCACATGGGAAAGAGCAACTGCACCCCTGAATTTGAAAGGACTGTGGTCTTTTCAGTGATAACCAGAATGAAGCCCACATCCCCAAAAAGCCTAGTTGTCTGAAGAGTCCCTGCATTAACACTCATAAACAAGGGAAGAGTCCCAATGATAACCTGGAGTCAATTTACCACTATTTCTGTGGTATTGAAGCTTGGGGTCAAGTTTAATTTGATTTGATTTAAAGGGAATGAAGCAATGTTATATGCTCTGCCCACTTAGCTTTGTAAAATACAATTTAAGTCTCTTATATAGTTTTTTTTTACCTAATTCTGGCAAAGGAACAGGAACCCTTCATCCCAGAACAATTGTACTTACTCCTTCCTTTTATATTTTTTCTAATTTTTTTCATTTAATTTCTAGATCACTATAGCCCTCTGGGATAACTGTATGCTCTTGATTTAAAAAAAAATCAAAAATAAGTCAGCTTTTCTTATAGAGCTAGCATCAGGCTGTGGAACTACTTTAGCCTGTGTCCCACAGTTCAAAGGAAATTTATCAAAAGGAGCATGGGTTTCAAGTGTGATGCTTCTCTCACCTTGCACTGAAATGTCATCTGTGACTTTAAAGGTAAAAATTCCTCCTTTCATACTCTCTGTTCCCTCTGGGGTCTGGGAAATGTAGACATTACCTAGACAATATAAATCTACTTCTGTAGTTTTACAGACATAGTGGACATTATCAGTTCTACCCGAAATTTCTGGTGTACCATGTTCTCTTCCTGAGGCTGTATTTTCTACTACTTTCTTCTGGGTCCTCCTGAGACTTCCACTTTCCTCTTCTGCTTAAAATCTTTTTAAAGCTATTTTTGGCTTTTTTTTTTCCAACTACTTTCTCAATTATTAATTATTTTCAATGTGGGGTGCCCAATAGATACCTATTAGTTGTAAATATATTCTCGACTATCAGATACTTATCTCAAGACCAAGTCTGTCTCTGTCTCCCTGATGTCAGAACTGTATAACCTCTCCTGCTACATATGGAAATTTCCTTGGTAATGGAGCAAATGTATCTCAAACTCAGTACTTTGAAAACTGGACTCCAGCTTTCCCATTAAAATCAGCATGTGCTCATTGCTTATCCAGCCAGGTGCCAAGCTACCTTCTCACCTCCTTCTAAATCAAACTGTAGCCAAGAGTTAAAACCTAAATATCATACAAAATTCTTTGCCACTCTCTCCCCACCGCTACGCCCTTAGTTTACTTCCAGGTGTTTCTCATCTAAACACGAACTTTACTGCTACCCGTCCTCTCCCTCCCAGCGCCACACTGCAACTACTACTACTAACAGCAGTAATAAAACACTAGTAACAATAGCCAACATCCCCTGAGCGCTTTCTAGGAGCCAGGCATTGTTCTAAGTGCTTAACATGCCTTGATTAGTTTAATGCGCTTCCCACAAACTTACAGAGTATGTTCTACTTTTATTTCCCCTGTATAGACAAAGAAACTGAGGCACTGAGAAATTACATACTTTATCCAAAATATAACAGTCAGTAAGAGGAAGATTAGGAATTCAAGCCCAGGAAATCCAGCTCTAGAGCCAGGGCCGGTAACCACTACCACCTTGCCTCCAAAGTCCCCTGCACTCTCACTCTCCTCCAGTCTTTCCTGCAGCCCACTGCCTAAGTGATGATTTTAAAATGGAAACCTGATCGTGCCACTCACTCACTTAAAATCCCTGGAGCCTGAAGATGGCATTAAGTGAGTTCCTGTGTCACTGGAAAACATTCATCCCCCGGACCAACCACGCTCATATCCCAGAGCAAACCCCCTCCCAATATGCTCCAGTCACATGAGCCACTTACAGGATCCTTCGCACAGATTCCCCTGACTTCATTGCTTCCACCATTTTCATCCCCTGGCTGAAGTCTATTCTTACTCCAATAAGTAAGTGGGTAGGCGGTAAATTCTCAGTAACTTCCAGGGCAGGTGGTTTTCATTCACTTTTTCTCCCCAAAAGGTGGCAGGCGTGGCATAAGCTTAACATTGGCAGCAGCTAAGGAAAAGATGTACCAGCCAGGGAGTGGATATATGGCAGCAATAGCACCTTCTACAGCCTCTTTCTCATTTGTTACTGTGCCTTGCAATTGTCTACTTGTTGTCCTCACTGCCACACAGGAGATTTCCTGAGCACAAGCATTATTTTTTCTCTGGATTTCATATGCAACTACACTGTCTGGTAAACTGATGAATGAATGAAATGAATGAATTACAGATAATGCAGTCCTCAAGGAAATCTCACTCTAAGTGAGGAGATATACAGACAAACAAATACTTACACAACAGAAGTGAGCAGCGCAATGGAAATACAAAGGAGTGACTTACACAGTCTTGGGTTCCAAGAGAAGAGAGGTCCCATGGGAGCAGGGTTTCTGTTATGCTTATTTCCTAGTGTATCCCCTGAGCCTAACAGAGCTTATTTATTGGCACTCAATAAATACATGTGATTAAATAAAAGAAATTTCTGTGGACTGAATCCCAGAACTCAGGAGTTGATTAAAATTAGTTACAATTAACTTCTATTAGCGTGTGCATATCAGAAGTTAGCAATTTCTCAAACAGCTGTCAAAATGAGATCCTAGCATAAGCATCACCTGAAGACTTGTTACAAATGCAAATTACAGAGCCCTACCCCAGACCTAGGGTGTCAGAAACTCTGCAGGTTGTGCCTTTCCATACATTTATTATCAAGTTCTCCAGGTGGTTCTGACACAGGATAAAACTTGAAAGCAACAGCTCTAAAGCAATAGTTTGTAACCTTGGCTATGTTAGAATCACCTGGATGTCTGTGTTTGTGTATTATGGACTGAATGTTTTGTATCCCCCCCAGAATTCATACACTGAAGCTCTAACCTCCAATGTGATGGT